CAGCACACACGCGCCCCCAACACACAGCGCCCCCCCCCCCCGCAGGAGGACAGATTCCCAAGCCTCTGCTATTTGGCAGGACCCATCCCGCTCTGGCTGTTATCCGGGCAATCGCTGCCGCATGTCCCTGCAAGCCAGAGGCACCAGGTAGCCAAGATTTCCGCTCCTTACCTGCACCCCCCCCCGCCCCAGGGGTGTCACTTTGCAATGGGAACCCCCTGGGTCCTTCGGGCTCAGGTCCCAGCTTCACTCTGCTCCGCGTCCCTTCGGCGCCGCAGCCCGCTGGAGTCCCCTGCCCGCTTCACAGCAGAAATGCCTCGGTGCTGGGCGCCAGCCGCCTCCGTCTTCTGAATGCAAACCCCAATGCACGCCCCCCCACCCAGTCAGCTACAGACAGTGCAGCAGAAACGCCACTTTTCCGCCCGGTGCCATGCGGGAGAAACCTCTCAGGCCTTTGGCGAGGTCTCTGCAATCACGACCTAGAGCCGTTTCCCCTGCCGCTGCAATGCCGTAGGAAACACTAGTGCGACTGTCGCACCAGGCCGGGCGCTCGCTTTCGGCCCTGCCGAGGGCAATCCATGCCGCTGTCTCCCTGGTGGGCTCCCCCCGAATCAGGATCCCCGTCGGTTCCGAGTGCAAAGCCCAGCCTTGCCACGGGGCTGCAGGAACCTGCCCCCCAGCACAGGACCCCGATCTGCAGCCCCCTCACGTCCCCGTCTGGTCTCCCCAGCCCCATCTGCCCCCCGTCCCACACACCAAGGCCAGACCATGTGCACCAGGGGCCCTGTGATCCTCCAAAAGTGAGGACCACAGCAGGGGGGAGCCCAGTGAGATCCCCCAAATTCAGCCCCCGCAAGACTGACCCTCTCAAATCCCCGCCTGCCCCCCCAGCACTGACCCGCTCTGTCTGATGGGGGTGAACGGGGACATTCTGCGGGGGCCCCGGGGTACGTGACTGGAGCAGTGAGGTGGGCCAGGCCCCGGCAGCCCTGAGCCGATCGTCCTCTCTCCAGCGGTTGCCGGCCGAGCTCAGGACTTGCTCTTCTGTGCCAGGCATCAAACCATTCATGGCCCAGATACTCAACCATCCTTTAGCTCCTAACTCCCACTGGCCTTGGGACCGGCCATATTCACCTAACTCTTAGCTGGTGGGACCGTCTGCTCATGGGTTTGGGGTGACTCCTGATCTCAGTGCTCGTGTTCGGAAATGGGGGGCGGATAGGACCCGGGCCCGCCACACACAGGTTTGCACTGAACACAGCTCACATTCACACACACACCCCAGGGCCGTCCTGAGGGTCTAGTTTTGTAGCATTTCGCCGGACAATAACAAGGTTTATTTTTAAGATTGTTTTTCTTTCAAATTAATTTGCCAAGTGGCCCGAAATGAGGGATTTTCAGCACGACTTTGTATCTATTTCCACGTTCCCGGTCACAAGAAACGGGGGAGGGGGTCAGACAAAACCGATTTGAGATTCCAAACGCGAACGCCTTATCAAAATGGGCCCCGGCCCCCGGTCCGATAACCGGACATCAGATGGTAATATCGTCTCAGGCGGCACGTTTCTCCCTATGTGTGGCGGGCGCGCCAGCGATTCTCACGGGAAGTGGGTCTGCGTTGGGACTGGGTGGGCGCGGTGAAATCGAGAGGTGCTGAGCAAAATCGAATCCTTCCGCGCAGTTCAGCGCAGACGCGGCGACGTGGGTGGAGGAAATCTGCCCTTGGCCCAGCTCCGGCTGCCTCAGGAAGTGGAGCATCCCGAGAGAAAATGGAAGCAGTACCTGCCGCTGTGCCGGTGCAGTGCTCGTAGTGTAGACGTAACCAATGACCTTAGTTTTCTGCCTCGTGTTCTTCTGCCGTCGGCTTTCCCCTCCAGTGCCGCAAACGTACCTCGCCCGCCGCCCTCTGCACGTGCCCGCTTGGCCCGCCTGGCTGCGGGGCAGTTACGTGGCTGGCCATGGGGGGATTTTACCGCAGGCTCTCGCAGGGGAACGTCGGGGCTAATGCTGCACAAGCGCCCCAAGAACTGGGGGCTGGACCCCGCAGCCGAAAGGCTCAACCCACCCAGCGAGGGGATGTTGGCAGCAGGTTTGTGCTCACCACAACACGGCGCCCTCACCGGACGTCTGGGGCACCAGGGGCAGCCGATCCGTTGCTCCCCCACCCCCGGGAAGTTCACCTCGACCTGAGCAATTGGTAACGCCCAGTTTTCGGTTATTATTCAGGGCATTTTCCAGCTGGTAAATACCAGAAATAACCATATTTCTTACCATTCTGATTGGCTCATATGCCGAGAGCAGACTGGTCATTTGAATAGTAGGCATCTTCCTAACGGTGCTAAATTCACTTCACTTCTCCATTCCTTTTCCCATTGACATGGGGCTAGAGGTGCCTAGAATTCTTCGTCACTCCTGGGCCATGGCCCGGGTCTGTAGGTCTGGGAGTTCTCTTCTCTTCAAAATCGGGATGCGACATTACAGCCATTCAAATGGATTTTAAGAAGAAAAACTGAATTTCTTTTCTGTATCATTGGAAAAGTGCTAAGCACAATCCTAGCAATGCCTGGAGCTTGTCCACAGGGACACCCAGGTAGGGTGACTAGATGAGAGGAAGAAAATATCGGGACACCGGGGAGGGGGTCGCCGGCGGAGCAAAAAAAAAACCTGAGTGCTGCCGGCAGAGGGGAAAAAAAACGTCAGTGGAGCAAAATATTGAGACAAATTGTATCCCGACCAG